GGTACTGAACCATGCTCCTACAAGATTTGGTTCCTTGTTCAGGATACTCATTCCTGAGACTCTTGAACTTTAAAAAAAATCAAGTCTCCACCACACTCCAGCTCCTGAACAAGTGGTATAGCATCAATTCATCCTCACTTTCCTGTGCTGCAGGGAAAGCTGACACTGGCTTTCCTCAAATATCTAACAATATTTTTTTTACATACTGCTTAACTACAAAACATGTTACTGATAGTTTAGGGCAGGGCTGACTTTAGATAAGGCAAGGTGTGGAAATCAGACCCAATGTAATTCACACAAAGTCTTCCCTTTCTGCACACTCACTGTTTCACCAAATTGCCGAATACAGGAGCTGATTACCACAAGCACAGAAACTTTGTGTAGGCACTCACCCCTCAGCACACAACAGATTTAGCCCAGGGGCTAAGACAGTATCAAAAAAAAAAAGATAATTATAAGTACTAGGGCATAAAATTTTGCCCACACTTCTTAAGCCAGGACTGCCCCAAGGCCCAAATCAAACCATTCTATATTAATGGATTAAAAGAAAACACAGAAGTATTTTAAATTCAGCTCAAAAAGTAGAATTTAAGCTAAAATAATCCAATATATATTCTAAGCACATCACTCCGGATATTTTTTTAAAACTATAAGTGTCAAATTCCGCTTGAAGTAATTTCTGTGCCGTAACTGAATACAGAGAAGGAGGAACACATCTGGTGCCTGCACTGTGCAAACATATTTATGATTAAATAGAATTGAATACCAAAATCCTGCAATGATAGAATTCATTAGACTAGTACAATGCTGCATAATTACTCTTTTTTTATATCATCCACTGCATGCTTTAAGAGCTCTTTTTACCCACTGATATCAATGTGCTATGTCATATTTACATACACCCCATATAAAAGGTTGAGGAAGTATTAGACATGTCAGAGGGTGACACAGAAAGGCAACTGTTGTACAATAACCACACTGTCCGCAAAACAAGAGAAAACTAATTTAAATTCATTCCCCAGCAGGAAACTCTACAGACAGGTACTGGATTTACATTTTGAAAGGAAGGGTGCTTCATATTATAGTAAGGAAGAGTTCTAACCTAACAAAATCAGTCCGTCACTCCTTTCTACCAGCACTCCTTGCTCAGCCTGCCTGCCTTGCATTACTGGCCCTCCACCAACAAACCATCCACAGAATTCCTCATGGACCTTGCTAAGCAGGCATCGCCCTTGGGTCTTTCCTCACTGAAAACATCTTCACACATTACTGCTCACACGTTAGATGTGTGAGCAGGTAATGGCTCTCTCTGAGCCCCAGCATGACTATCTTTGCTCTACTCCTTTCCTACCAACCCAGGTGTCTCATGACTCCTAGCAGGCAGCCCAGTCTCCCTCCTGGCTCATGCAAACTGCAGCACATGAAGGCCAGGATCCAATTTCCCCAAGCCACCAAGGAAAGCCAGGGGCTCCAATGCCACAAAAACTTGGGCTGACACCAATAAAGGAGGGTTGCCACACTTCTTTAAAAAAATTGTCAGGTACCACAGACTTTTGCCATCACTGTTTCAATTCTTTTTATGTTAAGCGGGCCACTGTCTCCCTAAGGCCCGCTCCATCTCCCTCTCAGCGTACTCCCCGTTCTTCATTGTTGACACAGAGGAGTAAGGGAGTTTGAACTAACTAAAGAGGTAAGCTAGCTACTAAGGCTGATGGTGCAAATGTGCTGGCTGCTCTCCCAGATGGGTTAGGGATGATGCCCAGGCAGCCCAGTGACAATAACAGCCTTTGGATCAGGCTCAGCAGGCAATTACGGAGCCAGCATGGAGCTGGCAGATTGGCACAAGGGAGAAAGTAACTGTCCACAGCCACACTGCCCTCCCCTTCAAACAGCAGCCAGACACCCACCTGGTAAGAGTTTTCTCCAAAGCTGTACCTGCAACCAAAGAAGAGTCAAGGAAATGGAGACTGAAAAACGCAGTCTGCAGGGACAGCAAAAAGACAGCTGAAACCAATTGCTATTTGCACTTATTTCACATCAGCCTACACGTTTCTAATAAAAAAAACAAAACAACGGCCCTGACCAACCACTTCATTTCCAGCCCTCTACTAATTGTGGGTTATTTGAGCTATGTGCCTGCAGGCTAAGGGAGAACTGCTCTGCATTAAATATATATTGAGTTCCTAATGAAAATAATCTCTCTCAAATTGTATGTTTATTGTAAACAAAAGCTGTAAAAGTTCACACATCAGGTTCCTTAAGACAACAGAGAAACACTACATTGAGCAATTGCAAACAGCCAAAAGGCACAAGAAAATCATTAAACCAAAATTTAAAAGATGCAAGGGTGTCAGTCAATGGGCTGTCCACAAGTGGCACGATAACATGCTCTGCCTAGTAACTGTGGTATGAGGAAAATCTAACTTTCAATAGTGACTAGTACAATTAAGAAATGCCATATTCTTAACAAGCTTAAGATTCAGGGGACATGAAAGTTATGACATTTTTAAACTCTTCTGGACCAGAACAGAAGTTAGGCTGCAATTTGAAGTAAATTAAAAGTAAATTAAAGTAAATCTATATAAACATGAAGTAAATTAATATAAAGTACTTGTTTAGTAAGTAACTGTGCATGAACTGACTCTTTTGTTTTCATCATTTTCTAATTAGTTAATGTTGACAGAGATATATTTGAAACCTAACTAATTTATTTACATCGTGTCTCCTTTCTTTCATCAAAAGCATAAAGGAATCACAAAACCACTTCAATATGCCAAGCAAAATGGTTTAGAGGTTCACAAAATGTAAAATTTCACCAAAGAACCTGTCAATGATCACTGAGGAAGGATTTTTCAAATTTGGTTTCACATATAGGAGATAATACCAGTTATGGACCTACATATTCCCAATGCAGAGCAAACAAAACACCAGCATTACAGGAGTACAAGGCAGTATTTTACTGATCACAGCTTTTTCAAATGTTTGAAAACATCAAACCTTCAGTCAGTCTTTTGTGTAAAGTGTCAAATTCCCAGAAAGATTCCCATATTCCACAGTTTACTCTTAACTGACACTAGGAAAAAGTACTCCTACGAAAGCAGTCCACAAAACCGCACTGCTTTTCAAAGGAGAAAAAAAAAAAGCAGGTTTGGGGGAAGTGAAGGATTCTATTACAAGGAGCCTCGCGACCTTGGACTCTCAGCAGTGGCCAGGGGCTACTCTCCAGCCAGATGCCAAAGACATCAGCCGCCGGGTGCCGGCATTCTGGAAAAGCCCTGCCCGCTCTCAGCTGGAGCCCGCAAAGCACTCGGCAAGGCGGCTGCCTGGAGCTGGCTGCTGCTGGCAGAGCAAGAGAAGCAGCTCCGTCCCAAATATCCTTTTCTCCAAGCAGCTCCTGCACGCAAAGCAAAGAGAAGACTCAATATCAGAGGACTTGTGCCCTGGCAACCTACAGGAAGACAATGCCTTTCCCAGAGCTCTACAGTCATTCCTCTGTCACAGGGCCAGGCACATCCCTTGCATGCTGTGGGAATGCCTGCTTTTTTCCTAAGAGGAAAGCAAGGCAGGACAAATCACCACAGGCTAAACACAACGTCGGGACTGAGACATCAGTATCCCTCTTAGAATCTCTTTCAGTCCATGTGCTACTGAAAATCATTATCCTAGCTTTCAAATACCAAAACTAAATTTAGCATCATCTACAATGAATTAATAATATGACTAACTAAATATTTGCATCTAAGATTGAAAGTCTGAAATATTCCAGCATGACATGACACAAATGCCAGTGAAAACAAATGAAAAAAGTAAGACCTTGTGAATTACCTAGATGAAATATCACAAAGACAGAAGCATTCCCTGGGTGAAATCCATATCTAAAGAAAAGTATTTAAGGTTCAGAGTTTTTATTACATGCAAATGTGACCTGGTTTGGTAGTTTAAACATTTGAAAAGATATAAAACCTAAAAAAAACCCAAACCAGGTAGGAGGTTTCTTAGATAATTAATCCCAGAACTTTCCAAGAAAATGAAAATATAAAGTCGCCCACAAAGGAAAGGGCTCCAAAAGTATTACCAACATGCACAAACAATTTTAAACATTTATATTTAAGAGTTTAAAGGAACTACTTAGAGTTCAGTGTTTGCCCAAGTCTCTGCAAGATCTGAATAAAAAGTCAGAGAAGTTATTCCAAGTCTGTCTCAAGGACCTAGAGGGCATTCTGGAGAGAGTAACACAATTTAAAGGTCAAACTCATAGAATCAGCATGAAATCTGCAGAAGACATATTTATATGTTTAAAAGACTTTTTCCATCCTTTGAAGAGTTATAAAAATATTATATGAGCCATATTCCCATGCAGAGCGGTTTGGAGAAAAGAAAATAATGTGACAGAACTCAAAAGAATCGATCAGCCACAGCACTGGATATTGCACATCATTTATTGATGTTTCAAAAGTGCTGCTATTAGGCTGCAATTATATTTTGCTTTTTCTTCATTACAAAATTTTAAAAATGTGAAGGGTACTTCACTTCTTCTCTACTCATCCATTTTTCTAGACAAGTAAGGAGACTCCCAGTCCATTTACTCATGCGTTGCTAGAGAACACATTGTAGACCACAGAAAAGCCTACACTGAGACCTCAAGCATTTTAAACTGGAAAAGATAGCAATAAGCAGTGTTGAACAAAACTAGCATTTCTGCCATGTTAACTGGTCACTAGAATCAAATATTCACTCTACAAGGAAGCTGGTGATTGGAATCAAGTATTCATTATTAAAGGAGCTTAAAAATAACAGAAAAATCCTTCTAATATTTCCTATTGTATTTTAAGTATGCACATCTCTGGTATTTATAAAAAAGATGGAGGGAGTCTCAGCATGCAGCCACTTAGTCACAAAAACATTTTGTGAGATGTCCCACAAAAACGAACGTGAATGCTTTTGTACAGAATGGTTCTTGGAAATCTACCCAGTGGAAATAAAATTAATGACAGTCTTACCTGGTCCCAGGGACAGATGATTCCTCCAAAACACATAAAGAGATATCCCATGGCAACAAGACATACCCAGACCACCAGAGAAAATATACGAAGCAGCTTCTTAAAGACAGGTTCTACGCAGACAAGGATAAATATAGCAAAAAAAATTGCTAGGGCTGTTGGAACAGTTATTAAAAATGCCACGTGGTCTTCAACTTCCTGAAAACAGAGGAAAATAAAAAGGAAGTTAAAAACAAACGTACTTAAAGGTCAGATATCAATAACATACTCTAAACTTATTGAACATGAAGACAGCAGAAAGACCCAACTTTAACTCTAAAATGAGTTAAATCAAAATAGGATTTCTTCCATGGTAAGAAGCTGTTCTGCGGCGCATCAACCTTGTAACTACTACTGTAACTATTAACCACAATAGCACAACACTTCTTTTACTACTCTGAGTAGCAGCAGGCTGTGAGGAGTGTGTGCAGCAGGAGCGGGGCTGAGTTGGAAAGCTGGTTCCAAGCTCAGTCTGCAGTGGACCCACAGCCCATGGCCAACCATCCAACAGCTCCGCTGCCAGCACACACAGAACACGGAGGGGCGGAACGCAGAACAGAAGCTTGCAAGAGCATGAATCTACAGGAAACAGAAACTTCCCCCGAAGCTGGCATGACCCTGCAGAACCTCTTCTCTGCTCTGCAGACTGAAAAGACCCATCCCATCAGGAGAGGTGCTGGAGCTGAGCCAGGCAGCCCCATCTGCTCTGTAACACAATCACAAGAACGTGATGGTGACAGCAGCAGGGGACCTCTGGTGAGAGGCACACGGGTCTGCCTCTGACACGCTCCTGAGAGCTCTGCTCTTACGGGGGGCTCATAGCAGGGATTGCACCAAGAGACTCCCAAGCCTCACAGAGCCCACTACTGCCCACTGCTGTAGTTTCACAAGGGAACCAGTGGCACAGCCAGGAACACTCTGCACAACACCAAGATGGATTGCAGAGGGTGATGGTAAGGCACTCTGGAATGCAAGACGTTTTTTCACCAGTCCTCACAAAAATAAAGTTCCCAGGGGAACAGAACCTCAATTCATTCCACTCCAAGTTTGATGCCAATATCAGAGATGCTCTGAGTCTGAAAGGGGATTGCAAGCTGGCAGGAAAAGGAATTCCAGCCACTCTAGCCAGTATGTTGGCATTGGGGGCATGGGCAGTAAACAAGAGCTGTTCACCTAGGACCTTGTCACACAGGTGTGGTGGGATGGCTCCATTGACTGGAGTGTTGGAATGGACGGATACTGGCTCTTCAGGAAGGAGAGGAGAGGGGAGACAAGGAGAGGGTGTTTCCCTCTATGTCAATGACCAGTAAGAATGCATGGAGCATCCCCTGCCGAGCGATGGATGATGAGCTGAGAGCCTACAGGCTGGGTTAAAGGGAGAGGAGAGATAGGCAACACTACAGTGGGGGTCTGCTACAGGTCCTCCAACCAGGAACACTGAGAAGATGAGGCCCTCTCTAGACGGACAGGAACAGTGTTCACAAGTCCTGGTCCTCATGAGGAGCTTCAGCCACCCCAGCACCTGTGGAAGGGGCAGCAAAGTAGGGCATGAGCAATCCAGGCAGTTCCTGGAACACGCTGATGATAATTCCCTTCTCCAAGTGATACAGGACTGTGGTAGATACCCTATGTGCAGAGACACGAATCTTGACTCCATGTTTCAGAAGGCTGGTTTATTATATTATGATATGTATTATATTAAAATGATACATTAAAACTATACTAAAAGAATAGAGAGAACAGGATTCATCAGAAGGCTAGAAAGGACAGGAATGGAATGCAATAACAAAGGCTCCTGACTCCCCGAGAGTCCGATGCAGCTGCATCTGTGATTGGCCATTAATTAGAAACAACCAACATGCCCCAATCACAGATGCACCTGTTGCATTCCACAGCAGCAGATAGTTATTGTTTGCATTTCTTTCCTGAGGCCCTCAGCTCCTCAGGAGGGAAAAATATCATGGTGACACAGGACAGGTTGGGTGGGGCTTTGAGCAGCGTTTTTTAGTGGAAGGTGTGCCTGCCCATGGCAGGAGGGTTGGCATAGGTGATCTTCAAGGTCCCTTCTAACCCAAAGCACTCTATGATTTAATATTATTTGAAGCAAGTTGAGAAAACTGTAAACCACCCTGAATAATGCAGCTGTCAAAATGCCTCACAAATCAACTACGTCCATAGCTCTATAAAAGCCTTTTTGACAGTGATAATTGAAAGGTGCTACATGTTTTGATTCTGCTTAAAGTATTTATCTAGAAGTACAGACTCTAGATTACATATATACATTTTCTCCTAGCAACTGCTTACTTTGAAATGTACAAACAACACTCAAAGCAAGGACTAGAATATAATGTGAAGTAAGATTCAGAATATTCAATATTTAAATTTATATACAGACCTTACTTGGAAGCTACTACACTAACATCTTTAAATGATCTAATGATGGGTGCATTAAAAAAAATAAATATTTGCTTTTTTATTGCTGTACATGCTCAAAAGTATGCCTGGTTGAAATACAACAGCGCTATATCAAAGTACAGGATCTTTAGTCATTCCCCAGCTGTTCTGAATTCTAACAGCCTCATTTGCAGCAACAAGGATTCCCCAAAAGCAGGCTCCAAATGCTGCTGCTGCAACAGTAACCACAGACTTCATGCAGAAAAGCCTCAGATTCATTTTTCATGGTGAAATCTTCAAGAGAATCTGAAAGTACTTATTTGATGATTTGTAAGACATCTAAGCACAAAGAAGCATTTCTTTTTCCCTTATCTGTAGTTGCTTCCTTAGTGCCCTGTTAAATCTTGTTTATTGACGGGTTTTCAACTTAAATACATAACATTTTACTTAAAAGTATCTTAATATTACTTTTTTTCCTTTCTTATGTATAATGTATTTTCTTCAATTAAATCAAAACTAAAAATTTGTAAACCAATTTGTAAATTTACAAACATTTACAAATACCATCAGCAGGTGGGTTTTTTGGTGTTGTTTTGTTCGGGTTTTTTAGCCTGATCTAGTAAGTTTTACAGGTTGATATCTAGACACTTGCTGTAAAAATGTGGCCCCCTTCACTGTTCCCATTTCTTCCTTTTCCTTGCAGCCCTGCCTGTGTGTGCACTGCAGACAGTGACACCCAGCTGGCTCCCAGCTCCAGCTCAAGAGCACCCTGGCAGGCTGAAACCAAGGGAAATGCCACCATATACCCTGCCCTGCCTGGCAAAAATCAGCTCATCTTTCAACTCTTCTTATTTTTAATTCCCTTTTCAATTTATCAAGTCATACATTTAAGCAGTTTTTATTGCAACACTGACAATCACAGTATAAGCAAAAGTGTCAGGAAATTTTAAGTGGTGATGCTAACCCTGAAATGCAAACACTAAGCTTCCAAATATCAAATACACACGCGAAGGCTTTCAAGCTCTTGGGTAGTCACAGTGAAAACAAAATTATGGCCTCAAATTTAGGCATAGGGGTAAGTAACCGCAAGAGTACAGAGCTGCACAGTAAGACTAAAAATATAAAACCTACTTACTAGTAGGAAAAACTACTGATTTATATATCTAAATGTTGTGATTTTTGATCAATCCCATCTCAGAGACTTGTTTCAGTTAATTGATTTAGTAAGTGGCACAACCAATGTCAGCTCAGTTAACACCAAAAGCATTTAACTTCAACCAGGTGGGATTGCCAAACTCTTGTTGCAAGAGCCAGGTGTCACAGGCAACAGGACAACATCAACTTCCTTGCACCATCTGTCACACAGCCCAAGTCACAGCACCAAAGGAAACAACAACTCCTGGAGTAAGCCGAAACCGTGGAAAACCACATGTTTAAATGATGGAAAATTGGCATTTCAGTGATAAGGATCATGGTACAAACATACTAGTAAGAAAATCCAGATGCACTTCAACTGCATGCTCCTCCACACCACTAAAAAAGTAATAAAACTATTGTACTTTCTGGGAGGATTTGGCTTCATAACAGATCAACAATATTTAGATGTCTGTTTAGAGCACACGTATGCTCATGCAGCTACATATATTTATATGTATTCTATAATTAGATCAATCCATCAAAATGTTTGTTCCAAATTAACAGCTGCTCAATTTCCTTTTTTTATACATACACTGATCTCAACACTTAGCTGAACCATTTTGATCACTAAATCTAAAATTTTACTTCGGCTTTCTCTCCTTCTATGGTTGCCTACTACGCAAATTTACATTCTGATTTAAATGTAATCAAAAAAAAAAAAAATAGACCACACAATATCAGCTCCTGAGCACAGGTGACCTCCATGAGCTGACACAGGAAAACATCCTTCTGCTGTCACAAGCTACTTGCATCACACCATACCCTGTATTCTGAATTAAAATTGAAATTTAAAGGCAGAATAGTGTACACATTAGGCAATTTATAAAATATATGAGAAAATAAAACTTTATTATAATTTGTATCCTTTACAGAAGACCTCAGTGTGTATAGGGGGATTTTTACAATCCTGCCTTTAAAATATAAGCTAATGTCAGCTCAAGAAAAGCCCTGTAAGGCAGAGGTTTATTTTGGAAACTACTTTGTAGAATATTTTCCTATTAGTTCAGAGGAACTAAATCTCTATAGAGTTGTAACTTTTAAGAGCAGGACATTTAGAACTTGCAGCTTCCCGATCAATATTTGCAATTATCAGTGTGTTTAACAAGTTGGGTGTGGCAAAATCCTAAAGGTTAGCAGTTCTGTTACCTTAACCACTTCCCAAAGAGGTGGGGGGGAGAAGAAAAAAAAAAACAAACCCAAACACTTTGCTCTTTTTTTTTTTTTTTCTGCTAGTCTCAGAAATTAAAATACACCAGAGGTAATGAAATTAAAATATCAGCATGACAATTTTGAACATAATGGCTAAGCCTGCAATAGATGGATCTTACCTGACAGTTCTGTCTCCCTGAGTGTTTTCTGTCTTGCTGTCTTTTAATTACAGAAGAAATTAAAAAGTCTACTGTTAGAAATTTTTCAACCCCCACAAATTCTTCCAAAGTGTGATAATCCTGTTATCACCAGTAAAATCTGAAGCCACTTTCAATCATCTTTCCCAAACCCACAATCTTCTCTCAATCTACATCCTGTTCTTTCCCAGATAATGTTATTCCCTCAGTTTAATTTTAAAC